CGGTCGTGCGGGCCCGTTGGCTGTGCGGGGACGCGGGGCCCGGGCCGAGGGGAGGGGCCGGGGTCGGTGCTGCCCCGCCTCGGCTGCCTGCCGCGCGCCGTGGTCCCCGGGGCTTCGCCATAGGGGCTAGGAGCCGCGGCGCTGCCCTGGGCCTGGCCCCGAGTGTGGCCTCTCCTCCCCGCTCCCTTCCGTCCGTCCGTCCGGTAGGACCTCCCTTCCGTCTGGGTGTGTGTCGGTCCCCGGCAGGCTTCCTCCTGTAGGACGCAGGTCGACCCCGTAGCCCTGGCGGCTGCAGGCCATGACCGCCTCCCTGCCGGCTTGTTTTTCTCCCTCGGCTCCACGGTCTCTTTGTCCTCGGACTCCGGGTTTCCTCCGGCCTGGCTCGTGGTCTTCCACCCGGGCTGTCTGGGCTCCGCGAGCGCTCCGCCGTGGGATCGCCCGCAGGCTCCTCGGCACCCCGACTTTTCCCCAGTCCTTTCTTTTTTTCTTTCTTCTGCACCCTCCCCATCCTATCTTTATGTCTCTATGGAGTCCCCAGGCAGATGCCTTCCGTTTCCCCACTTGTCCACCATTCCTTTTCCTCCCAGAATTCTCTGATGATAGATAGCCTCCCGTGCCCTTCCTTCCTTTGGGCTGTCCACCCAGCCTTTTCCCTCTGGCTCGGGTTCCCCTTTTCTGCACTATGCCTGTCAGCTGTTTCCCCTCAAATTCTCAAGGCCCACTTCCCCGTCTTGGCCCCCGTGTGTCTGTGTGTTTGTGTCTGTCTGTCTGTCTCTAGTCATATCTGTCAATCATCTACTTAACTCCTGGTACCATCGCCGCCCCTTCCCACCCGCTTGCCTCTAGCGCCTCTTAAATCCCTTTTTTTCTCTTTTCTTCCAGCCACCCCCACCAGTCCCTCCCCAAGCTCCTAGGGACAACTGTGGAATTGGGGACCAGCGAGCACCCCCAGGGCACGAGAGGATCCCCTACTGCCTGCCCTGCCTCACCCTGCCCCACACCAGGCCCAGCGGCCCCCGGCTGCATCAAGTGGAGGAGGAGGAGGCGGCGGCGGCAGAGGAGGGTGGCACCATGGGCCCGGGCCGTGCCCTCCATGCCCGGGGGATGAAGACATTGCTACCATGGACAGCCCGTGCCAGCCGCAGACCCTAAATCAGGCTCGCCCTCAGTTGCCAGGGTCTGTGTCAGAGCCTTTGGAGCCTAGCCGAGGCAGGATGGGGGTGGAGAGTTACCTGCCCTGTCCCCTGCTATCCTCCTACCACCATCCAGGAGCATCTGGTGAGGCCTCGGCTGGCAGTGGGACGCCCAGGACCACAGCCTCAGCCACAGCTACCACTTCGAGCCCCTTGCAGGAGGGCTTTGGTGGACAGGATGGTGGTGAGCTGTGGCCACTGCAGAGTGAAGGTGCTGCTGCACTTGTCACCAAGGAGTGCCAGCGGCTGGCAGCCCAGGGTGCCCGGCCTGAGGCCCCGAAACGGAAATGGGCTGAGGATGGTGGGGATGCCCCGTCACCCAGCAAGCGGCCCTGGGCCAGGCAAGAAAACCAGGAGGAGAAGGGGGAAGGTGGTGTGGGCTGTGACAGCGGCGATAGCAGCAGCATGGCCGGTGGCAGTGGCCAGGCGAGTGCTAGGCTGAGGGAGGAGGCCCTGCCCTCTGCACCTGAGCGCCTAGCCCTGGACTATATTGTGCCTTGCATGCGGTACTACGGTATCTGTGTCAAGGACAACTTCTTGGGGGCAGCACTGGGTGGCCGTGTGCTGGCTGAGGTGGAGGCCCTGAAGTGGGGCGGGCGTCTACGTGATGGGCAACTAGTGAGCCAGCGGGCAATCCCACCGCGCAGCATTCGTGGGGACCAGATTGCCTGGGTGGAAGGCCACGAGCCAGGCTGCCGGAGCATTGGTGCCCTCATGGCCCATGTGGACTCAGTGATCCGCCACTGTGCTGGGCGACTGGGCAACTACGTCATCAATGGGCGCACTAAGGTAAGGCACTTTTTTGGTGAGTGCCTAGTGCTTTGGCATAAAGTGGGCCGGGACACTGGCTTCTGGGGTTAGAAAAAGGTGTAGGCTAGCTCCCCCGAAGTGGATACAGTTGCCTGTGGGGGTGACTTGGGAGTCTCGGCTTCCCTCTGGGCTTTCATTTGTGACCTGAAAACCGCCAGGGCTGCAGCGGTTCTTGACCTTGCGGTACTCTTGGGAAACCAAGAGCTGCTGATCCTTACAGCCTGCCTTAGACTAACGACAGTCAGAGTAGACGGGCTTTTCTCTGTCTCTAGCCTCCTGTCTGTCCCTGGCTGCTGCCTTGTCTGTTCTGCCTCTTGTGTGGGAGAACTAGAAGGTGAAGGAAAGGGTGGCTGTGGTGAGGTGAGCCCTGGACTGAAGATGGGGCGCTACCTACTTTGTTGAGTATCTGCCCTGGGCTCCATTTTGCCCTGTGGGCCTACTGCATGTGCATCAAGGACAGCTTTCTGGAGGTGACATTGTGTGAGAGGGTCCTGTCCCCATCTTTCCCACTCCTCCCTGTTCTAGTCCCTATTGTCCATCCTCTGACAATTGTGTCGCCTCCTGCCTGCTTTCCATGGTCTCTTTCCTTGACCCTCTGCCTACATGTATCTTCTTGGTTCCTTTTTCTTGTTACAGAGTAGTAGTTTTTAATGTTTTTGGAGCATAGGGTTTTCAGATTAACTGCCAAAAGCCACAGACTTCAGGAAAAGTGCTCATTTGGCTGGAGTTTGTGGGCAGTTAATGTTAGGGCCTCATGGGCCTCCAGCTGTCCATTCAAGAACCAGGGGTCAGGAGCCCTGCCTGGACAATGACCCCCGGGATCTTTCCTGTCTGCTGACCTACCCATTCTCTTCATGGAAGGGTGTGAGACATGGTATCATTTGGACACCATCTGTTCAGAGTGCCCACTGCTGGCTACTGGTGATGTCTGACTGATGGTACCATAGGCTGTATTCTGCCTTGTGCCCAGAGGACTGTGCTCCTGATGCTCCCTCCCTTGTCTCTCAAATCCCATCGTGAGTTCTGCTGTGCAGCTTTCCTCTCAGACTAGAACTGGCTCAGGGGCCAGGGCTCCCCCAGGGCCCAGGCCTATTTCCTCTCCACCTGAGCTGGAACTTGCCCTATTTCCCTCTCCCTCCCGTTACTTGATAGCTGGAGAGCCAGAGCTGGCCCCTCCCAAGGCTTGGCTCCTGTGCAGGCAAGATCAGTGTGGCCTCCCTGGCTCAGCAGCTGCAAACCTGGTATCCACCCTCCTTGCAGGAGGGAAGTCAGGGAGACAGGGGAGCTCACTGCCCAGAGTGGGATGTAGTTCTGAGTCTCAGGAAGGGAAAACCAGGTCAGGTCCCTAGCTACTTGGGAGCAGTTTATGAAGGGGCTTGAGGGAATAGGTTGCTTCCCCTCTGGTGCCTCCTCCCATCTGGATGTGCTTGGTGACAGGACCTGAGCTAGGATTGAGGACAGGGAAGAGTCAGGTTCTAATGCTGTAAGGTGGCTCTTATCCTTGGGGAAGTAAGAACAGATCAGGCTGGTGTAGTAGGGAATGGAATACCCAACCCCGTCCCTGGAGCTTGTTCTCTCGAAACTCCAGACCCTCCCATTTCCAAAAGGCAAGGCCACATGTAGGCTCCCTTCCCTGGGCTCTAGAGTGAGCTTGTGTGGTGCTGAGGTAGTGGTAGTGAGGACATAGACTGGCGGTGTGGCCTTGGCTAGCAGTAACCTCGGTCGTCCCTGAGTGGGGCTCCTGTGCCCTTTTACCTTCTCTGCCATCCCTGTCTTCCTCTCTGGATCTGTGTAGTTGAAAGAGCTGATTCGTCCTGGCATCAAGAATGCGCAGTGGGGACCCCAGGTAGGGTTCAGTTGGTTTGGTTTGTTCTTTTAAGAGCAGCTTGGAGGCAGGGCTTGCTGTCTTTGGCTGAGTCCCTAGCTGCTGACTTGGGGGGTGTGTGGTGGTGATAGGATCCTTGGCCTATTATCTCCAGTAGCCTTTAGTCCAGCATACTGGCTATGATCCCATTTACTGCTCTTGGGTAGGAGGGGTGGGTAGCAAGTTCCTTTGTTACTCTGCTGTTGTCCCTGTGGCTGAGGCTTTCCTTTAGCTGAGGTTAAGAGCAGTGTTTTCATCTAGTAGGTAACACCCTGGGCACTTGGGAGACAACCCTGGTCCCAGGAGCTTCCATGGGCTGCTTTTCAGGCCAGTGCTGGGTAAACAGGTTTCTGAGCTAGCTTTAGATGTAGAGGAGCCACATGGACCTTTCCACTAGATGCTTAAGCTGGTCCTTGACGTGAGTGCCCAGTAATATACCAGGCAGGTGCACAGGCTTTCAGGTTGAGGCTTGGAGCAGAGGGAAGATCAGAGTGTGTAGGCACCACCTGTGATTTTTGGTGGGGGGTGCAGTGAAGAGGTGGAGGAAGCATCTCTGGCTGCTATGTAGGAATTGATAGGGCAACGCTGTCTGCCCTCCCTGTGTGTGCAGAGCGTGTCTGAGTGCTCATTGGAGTCCCAACTCAGGAGGCCTTGCCCATCTCTAATCAGTGACTCACTGATTCCAAGCCACCAGGGCCACAGTCACATTCTTTCCTCCCTGTGAATGGTTGCTTGGAGCACCATCCCATCTGTGGGAGCAGTGCAGAGAAGACTCACCCTCCTGATCCTTGGAGTACAGAGGCCAGGGTTTGCCACACCCTGGTCCTGAGGCTTTACTTCTGGGTGGACTTAGGTTGTAGCAAGCCCTCCTGGTCTCTTTTTCCAAGGTAGGGTCTGGTGGATTAGGTATGCAAGTGTGATGCAGAAGACATTGCATCCACAATGAGGCGAGCCCTGGGACTGATGAGTTGAGAGGGGCCTTGGGAGGAAGGTGCAAGACCAAATCAACCTGGCCTGTGTTGAGTGCTGGGTTAGCCCACCTGTCTTGTCAGCAGACACTGATGTGTCTGATTATGACTGCTTATGCTTGGCCTGCTGGGTTGGGCTCCTAAGTACAGGTCAGCATTGTGAGGAGCTCCAGCTGCAGAGTCGTTCATACCTGGGTAGCAAGATCCAGACAGATGGTCCTGGACTGGGCAGGAGCTCAAGGGTCCTCATGCTCATGGTCCCTCCATTTTGCTCAGTGTCAGCCCTCCCAGTGTTTTGAGTTGAGGTGGGACAGGAATCCTTTTCTTTTAAATGATATTTTTTTTTAAAAATTGTTTTTGATTTGTTTTTATGTGTATGAGTGTTTTGCCTGCATGTATTTAAGTGCTTTCCCAAGAAGGTCAGAAAGAGGGTGTTGGAGTCCCTGGAACTGGAGTTACAGACAGTTGTTAGCTGTCATATGGATGCTGGGGATTGAACCCGAGTCCTTTGGCAGAGCAGCCAGTGCTCTTAACTGCTGAGCCATCTCTCCTGCCCCTTAAATAGCTTTTCAATTTCTGTTTCAGTTCTCTAACCAGTGGCAATAGTCATTGTAGTAGGTCTTTCCAGACATTTGTTATCCAGTTAATTTCCCACAGCAACTTGTAAAGTGGTGTTATTTACATTTTGGCAGGGAGGAATCTGAGGTGGGAACTTCATTCACTACCCTGATGCCACAGCTCATTGTGGCTATGCTGAGTCTTGAACCAGTGAATTTGATTTGCAGCAGTGACTGGGCCTTGTCCCTTACACTTGCAGCCACTTTTCTGATAGCTCCTTGGTAACATTTCCAAATGTGGCTGCAGCCTGGTTAAGAGCTGGGGAAAAGTCTGTGCTGTGAGAACACCTGGCTGTGATCTCAAAGGTTAATGCTGCTGCTGGAGAGCAAAGGTGTTTATTAATCCCATTGTATGGTGGAGATAATTGAGGCTTGTTCAGGTACTGGAACTACCAGGGTTGCTGTGCAGCTCGATTGGATGGGGACTTCTAGATTGGGGTTCCTGTTCTGATGTGTGGGACAGATCATTTATGTAGCTGTTGCCTTGTAGTCAAGTGCAGTAGATCTCAATATGGCTGCACATTAGAATTACCCAGGGAACCTTTTAAAAATCCAGGCTGCACCTTCTATGAACTCCACCAGAACCTTTGAGGTGAGGAGGGCTGGGCCTCAGTAGTCAAACTCTTTCGGAAGTCTATGCACTTACTGTATGGTTCAGACTGGTCTTGAAGCTGCGATCCTCCTGCCTCAGCCTTGTGAGTGCTGAGATTATGGGTATGCACGTGTACCACTACACCTGGTGGGGGTTAGACCCTCTTTAAAGAACACAAACCACCATTTGAACCCCATTTGAACCACGCATTGAACCCCATTTGAGTCTAGGGTGGGGGTGATGACAGAGGTGCGGGGGAGTGAGTTCTTGAGGCCAAAGAGGTTGGGTTTTGATGAATTTGAGGATGCAGTTTAAATTAAGAGAAAGTCTGTTGGAGCTCCTAGAACCTAGGATGATTAAAGACAGACGAGCCAGGAAGGGCTTCTTTCCCAAGATGTCCCTGCCTGGTCTTAGTAAACCACCTATCTCCATCTCTGCCAGGCCATGGTGGCGTGTTACCCAGGCAATGGGCTGGGGTATGTGCGGCACGTTGACAATCCCCACGGCGATGGGCGCTGCATCACCTGTATCTATTACCTGAATCAGAACTGGGATGTTAAGGTAGGGTGTGGGGGTGGGGCAGTGTGATTATCCTTCCAGCCCATAGGGGGCGGTGAAGTCTCTAGCTGACTGGTGGGACTTTCTTCCTTTATGGGAATGATGCTGTCCACTTAGCCCTAGCCACATACACTCACTTCCCCCTTTTTCTATCTTGTCCTTAATAGTTTCCTGTCCATCTCCATGGCAATGTAGACTCTGAACTCATTTGTAAGCACCTGAGTGGTGGGAGGGAGCCGTGTGTGCTGGTCCTGCGCTCTCTAGTGGGCACATGGGTGCAGTACAAGGCAGAGGCTCCAGGCTTCACCAATGGCCTCATTTGGCCTGCCTCCAGGTGCATGGGGGCCTGCTGCAGATTTTCCCTGAGGGTCGGCCTGTGGTTGCCAACATCGAGCCACTCTTTGACCGGTTGCTCATTTTCTGGTCTGACCGTCGGAACCCACATGAGGTGAAGCCAGCCTATGCCACCAGGTATGACCTGTACTTTTAGGGAAGTGCCTGGGTGTTCCCCCTACTAAAGTGTAGGTCCCCAGAGTGACAAGGGAGTGATGAGGTGCTGAGAGGGCCCAAGTGGGAAACATAACCAAGTGACTCACAAGGGTGGACTCGAGTGTCATTGGAGGTGGTGACTGGAACTGCAGAAAACTGATTTTTGACTGCCCTGCTCCCCAGGTACGCCATCACTGTCTGGTATTTCGATGCCAAGGAACGGGCAGCAGCCAAAGACAAGTATCAGCTAGGTACTGGCTCCCCTCTCTCATGTCCTTCCTAGTCCCTGTATCCTACCAGACCATGACCTCTGTCTTTTTTTTTTTTCTGGTGCTGAGGATGTTATCCTAGAGCCTTGCTGTGCTCTACCACTAGCCCAGTGCCCTCATCTGTCTCTTAAGTCTAATTCTGTCTCTCTAGCCAGCCCACTTTCCTGGCTCCTCCAGCATGAGTCCCTTTTCTTCTGATGCTCTCTCCATTTCCCAGGTTTCTTTTGGCCTCCCTGTCCCTTCCTTGGTGAGTTACAATCTCTGTCTTCCTTTCCTCAGCATTGGGACAGAAAGGTGTCCAAGTACCTGTATCACAGCCGACCACACCCACCTAATGGCCAGCCCCAGAGCTGCGTGGACTGACAGCTCCCTGACTTCAGGAGGGCCCTGGGCCCCAGTGGCAGCTCACCAGCCTCAGTGCCCACTCCTTCTCTGCCACTGCTGCTGCTTCTGGCTTGCCTTTGCCCTGTGTGGTGTGGAGGGATTCTGAGCATCACTGGGGACCAAGGAGGAAAGACCACTGCCCCTTGAGGGAGCTGGGGTTTGTGACCTGGGCAGTGGCCAGTGTGTGAGGGCATACCATAACTGAACCTGGGGGCCGTGTGCTGCCTGTCTGGTCATTCCTCATTGGGTTTGGAGCTGAGAGGAGGCAGGATTTGGGGTTGAGGTGAGTCATGGCCTCTGGCTGGCAATGGTTTGGGGGGTGGGTATCCCTACTCTCCCCATTCCTCCAGCCTGGAATGTGAAGTGACTCCCCAACCCCTATGGCCTTGGCACTTTTTGAACTGGGCTGCTGCTGCTTGGGCAGAGTTAGGTGCCAGGAGGAGCATGGGTGTGGAGGTCCTGCCAGCCAAGAAATAAAAGTTTACCTCAGAGTTGCACACACTTGAGTATTCCTTTCTGTAGTGACATTTCCACATCCGGGTAGAAGCCTTTACTGACCAAGGAGGGGAAGGAAATCGGGGCTTCTGAGATCAGGCTAGTGGAGCCCAGCTTCAGCGGGCCACCAGGCGGAGCTGGAAGGCTGGGGGCACGTTGCCCAGGCCAGTGCACTGTGGGGTGAGATTGATACTGGCTGGGCTCTCGGTTGAGAGGAGGCAGAACTTCTGCAGGATGGCAGTGAAGAAGAGGAAGATCTCCGAGCGCGCCAGGCCAGCACCTAGGCACATGCGCTTTCCTGTGGATATGGGTGCAGGTGTGGGGTGAATGAGCACCTTTCCTTTACCCCCCAGTGATGGCCATGCTGGGTGCCTCTCTCCTGGCTCAGACCTGGAGCAAAGGGCATGAAGGCATCATTGTTCTGGAACTCTCCCCTGTCATCCAGGAAATTGGTGGGATTGAAGTGGTCAGGGTCTTTGAATTGGGTGGGATCTCGGTGTGCAGATACCAGCAGGGGAATCACAAAGGTGCCCTGGGGAGACACACAGGTAATGTTACCCACAGAATTGGCTCCTCATCCAAGACCGCTTTCTGTTTTTGTGGTGCTGGGTACCAAACTCAGGACCTTGCATGTGTGCCATTGAAGTGCTCTCACTGCTACACCCCCAGTACCTGAGATGATGATAAAAGCCCTGGGGTGAGCCTGCCATTTCTGTTCCTGGGGCTGCTGACTGCCTCAGTCAGTGCTGTGCATGCCCATTGAACCTAACCGCCGAACAGGCACTTGGGTTCCCCCGCTCCTCACCCCAGTGCAGAATTCCCAGGCTTTTTGTACACCTTACGCAGGAAGTGACTTCGGAGGTGGGTATCTCGGGTGAGGGCCCGGGGCAGCCCCAGCGGCAGCACGCTGATGAAACGTTGGATCTCATGCAGCACTGCGTTCGTGTAGGGCAGGCGTGCACGGTCCTCCAGGTTCGGGGCACGTGTCCGACCTATTACGGCGTCCAGCTCTGCCTGCACCTTGGCTGAGGCCAGTGGAGGTTGTGAGATGAGCCTTAAGACCGCCCAGCCCGGCCCTCTCCCCCAGTTCAGGCTTAGCAGAGTATCCAGCTCCCAAACCTGCCACCTCTGGGTACTTGAGCATAATGAGGAGCCCGTAGCGAAGGGTGGTGCTTGTAGTCTCGGTGCCGCCGAAGAAAAGATTGTGAGTGGTCATCACCAACGTCTCATCTTGGAAATGACTTTCCGGGTCCTGCTGTTCCTGTGGGCAGAGGCAGGTGCTGCAGCGTTTGCTGGTGGGCAGCACAGGTAAGGTTTAGGACGGCAGGGACTTGCACCTCATCCATTTGGTCCAAGAAACAATCGATGAAATCGCGGGGCTCTCTGGCCTGCCTCAACTGCCGGTGCTGCTGGATTTGTTCGGAGATGAAGACTCGAAGCTCTTGGAAGTTCCGGAAGATTCGATGGTGTGGGCCGGGAATCCAGTCCAGGAACGACGGGAAAATGTTGTATGCCTGGAAAGACAGGGCCTTAATAGGGCCTTGATCAAGGCAATTGGACTTTAGTTTCCCTGATAGGGAGATTGGACCAGGAATTTTTTTTTTCTGAGACAGGGAAGCCCCACCCGGCCCGGAGCTCACTATGTAGACCAGGCTGGCCTCGAACTCTCAGAGTGCTGGGATTAAAGGTGTGTGCCACCACGCCCGGCTGGACCAGGATTTTGATGTGGGTTTTAGAAGTCTGCCATAAAGAATCTTGACTTCATTCAGATGAACCACTAAATGCAGGACTGTGAGCCTGGGGTTTGGCAAGGGCCCACAAAAAGAAGGAATTGGAACCCATTCTCTCACCTCGCCCCATTTGGAACTCATGATGCGGAAATTGTCACTGAAGAGGTCCAGGAGCCTCAGGAACTCCGGATCCCCATAGTCATAGCGCTTTCCGAAGACCACAGAACAGATAACGTTGGATACAGCATTATCCAGCAGTCGTCGGGGATCGAATGGAGTCCCTGGGGGTGAGAATGGCCCGGGTAACAAAGCTGTGGTCCGGCCGGCTGGCTCCGTCTTGCCCACTGACCACCCCCAAGATGGCCCTCTGCTCTCCCTGCCGGGCCGCACCCACGATGGCTTGAAATTCGCCGAGCAGACATGACGCCTCCTCCTGGATGCGCTCCTCGATGCTGCGCCTGCCCACGCCGAACTCCTTCAGCGCTCCCAGGGCAAAATTGCGCAGCGTGCGCCAGCGCGGCCCGTTGGAGAACGCGATGCCTACGGCGGAGACAGAGAGGTGGCGGCCTTGGGGTGCTGGCCCCGCCCCGCCAGGGAAGTGCCAGCCCCGCGCTACACCTAGGGGACGAGTCCTTCACCAGACACCATGCCAGCCTTCTCTGTCCTATCCACATACACTGATCCCAGGTCTAGAACCGGCTTGCTCTTGAGGGCTTAGGCTTCTATGGCTCCCTGGTGAACCTCGGGGCCTAGTCGATAGCCAGCCCCCCCGCCCGCCCCCAGTCCCCGAGTCCTCAGCGTCAATCTCTGTTAGTCTCCGCCCACTCGGTCCCGCTCCACCTGTCATCCTTCCAAACTGGTTGGTCTGGGTCCTCAGTTGCACCCAGCCTGACCCTCACCGTTTCCGTGGGTGAAGCGTTCGAAGACTGCCATGCTTCCGCGGCCGGAGAAGGCGTCCGCCTGGAGCACCAGTGCGTCCCGCAGCGCTGTGTAGCCGCACAGCACCACTGCAGGGCGCGGGCCCAGCCACACGGTGAACACCGGGCCCCAGCGGCTGGAGAGCTGCGGGGAGCTAGCGCTTAGCAGAATCTGTGGCGACCCCAGAGCCCTCCCCTCCCTCACTCCCTCAAACCTGCAAGTTCTCGTTTCAACCCCTCGTTCCTCAGGTCCAGGGGTTCGGATCCCTAACTCTCTTCTCCTTAGACCCAGGAGTCCAGACCCCTGCCCTCCTTCCTCTGTCTAAAGGGTCCAGGTCTAGCCCTCCTCCCTCGGACCCAGGGATCCAGGCCTAGCCCACCTTCCTTAGGCCCAGCAGTCCAGACCCCAAGCCCTCTTCCCTCTGACCCAGGGGTCCTGTCCCTCAACCCCTTCAGCTGTCTGTTTAGAGCCACCCAGGACTTTACCCCTGCCTCCCCGAACCGGTACCACCTCCCGGAATCCAGAATTATGTATGACTCCAGTCCCACAGTTGGGTTACCTCCATGAGCACACGGTCCAGGTGTCCAGACTGCAGCTGCAGCAAATTCCCCAGCACCGGGAACGGCGTGGGCCCAGGGGGTAGGCCCCTCTGCATTTGAGCACGGCGGACCCCCCAAGCCCACCACGAGAGTGCCAGCAGTAGGAGAGGCAGCAGCAGCACGGTGGCCATGGTGCCTTCCATCCTGATCCTCCAGGCCTGGGGCCCTTCGCAGCTCACTTGCAGGGGCTTTTAGGTTGGATGGGAGCGGAGGGGAGGCCGGGGGGCGGAGACCAGCGTGGGAGGGCCAAGTGTCAGGGGCTGCTCTGTCTCCACCCTGCCCCCCACAGCATTACCAGCCCGAGCACATTTGTACCCTGGTTCCCCTAGGCTTTGTGTGTGTGAACCTCAGCTTATTTTCATGTAGAAACTCAGCCTTGTGTACCCTTCTAGTACCTCTGAGCTATGTGTTCTCCTCAATCGCCTAGTCACGTCTGGAGCCACACTCCAGTGCCACACTTGTTTTTTAAGTGCACTCATTCCTGACTCCTAAATACAGTGCTAAAACCATCGGCCTGGCACTCTTGTGCGCTGTGCTTGTGGTATCTAGGGGAGACCCTGGAACCTTGTCTCTTATAGTCTCCCATTGTCTTAAATTTTTTATTTTATGTGTATGTGTGTTTTGCCTGTATGTATGTAAGTGCACCACATGAATGCAATGCCCGTGGGGGCTAGAAAAGGGAGCAGGATCCCCTGGAACTGGAGTTACAGACTGTTGTTAGCTGCCCTGTGGGTGGTGCTGGGAACAGAACCCAGGTTTTGGGAGAGCAGCCAGTGCTTGTCACTGAGCCATCTCTCCAGGCCCTTTGGTTTTTTGTTTGTTTGTTTATTTTCTTTTGTGTTTCTGAGCCGCTCTCATTATGCAGCCCTGGCTGGTATGGGACTTGCTACGTAGACCAGGCTGGCCTCAAACTCACAGACATTCTGCCTGCCTCTGCCTCTCTAGTGCTGGGATTAAAGGCATGTGCCATCATATGGATAGCATTTTTTTTTTTTTAAAGACTGGCTCTCACTATGTAATATGTAGACATACTATGTAGTATGTAGTCCATTCTGGTCTCAAATTCATGATCCTCCTGCCTTAGCCTCCTGAGTGCTGGAATTAATGGTATACTCCACTGTGCCTGGCTTTTCCATTGTTCATGGAACCTACATGCTGTCTCTTCCTGTTGTGGCACCCCCACCCCCCTCCGATCACTGGTATTCCCTAGGTTGCTGGTTCCCACCTGCCTGGCACTTCTGAGCCTAGCCTTGTAACTTGGGTGCCTATCTTACATGATCTCAGCTCATGTCCTGTCTCAGAACTCCTGCCACCTCTGTTTTTCAGGCTCTGGCTCTCATGGCCTGCCAATGTCCCATGAGCCTGCTGTTGATGCATCACCTGGTCTCCAGACTGCCCTCCCCCCAGGTCCCTCAGGAGGCACCCCTATCTGAAGCTAGACTGACATGTGTATCCCTCACTTCTCCCCTTGCTCTAGGGACACAGACTCAAGGGGCACACCCCCACCAATCCGGCCTGCACACACCTGCCCCCACCCTCATGGCAGAGGAGCTGTCAGTTCTTTGGGACAGACTGTTCAGGAATGTGATCCACCTTCCTGCTCCTCCCTGTCTTGTTGGATTCAGTTTTCCTGCTTGGCAGAGAGCCCAGACCTGGGGCCAAGGTGGGGGCCCTCACAGAGTCCGAGGCTAGATTTGTTCCTGGGATTGGTTCAGCATCTCCATCTATCTTTGTTTCATTTCTCAGGGTCTCCTTGCCAATCTCCGTGTCCCTTTGCTCAGGTGTCTCTTTCTGCTTATCTTATCTCTGTAGCAGTCTCCACTGAAAGCGGGGGTGCCCTCCCTGCCCAGCCCTACCCCCATGGGTCGGACCGATGGTTCAGAATCTCTGGCTTTCTCTCCAACTCCTGGTCTTTTTCACTGTGTTGGGCTGTACCCTGGAGTGTCAAATTTTCATGTATGGGTATTTTTTTCAAAAAGACTTATTTTCAGTTTGTGTGCTTGTGTGCATGTGTGTGTTTCTATGCACAGGCAGGTGTTGTGGAGGCCGGAGGGTTGTCAGATCCCCTGGAGCTGGAGTTACAGGCAGTTGTGAGCCACCAGATGTGGGTGCTAAGAACTGAAATTGGTCCTTTGTAAGAGCAGCAAGTGCTCTTAACCTCTGACCCATCTCTCCAGCCCCAGGAATTTTCTTTTTAAAATACTGTTTTCTACTCCAATTTCCTTTTTTTTTTTTCTTTTTCTTTGTTTTTTTTTCTTGAGACAGAGTCTCCCTGTAGGCCTCGGCTGGCCTGGAACTCGCTATGTAGACCAAGCTGACCTCAACAGAGATCCACCTGCCTCTGCCTCCTGAGTGCTGAAATTAAAGGCAAGTACCACCATGCCTGGCTTGAATTTCTTTTTTTAATCAAGTTTTTATTAGCATATATTATATATAACATGTTTCATTATGGCATTTTCTTATTTATTATTATTATTAATAATAATAATTATTATTTGGTCTTTTTGAGACAGGGTCTTCCTGTAGCCTTAGTTGGACTGGAACTCTCTATGTAGACCAGGCTGGCCCTGAACTCACAGAGATCTGCCTGCCTCTGCCTCCCCAGTGAGTGCTGGGACTAAAGGCGCGCACAACCACGCCCAGCATTTTGTTTATTATTTTTTGTGTATGAATGTAACACCTTCATGTAGGTAGGTGCACCTGTGTCATGCAGTGCTCGCAGAGGTCAGAAGAGGGCATCGGATCCCCTGGAACTGGAGTTATGGACAGTTGTTAGTTGCCATGTGGGTGCTGGTCTTCTGCAAGAGCAGCCAGTGCTGCTGAGCCATCTCTTCAGCCCCTCATTAAGACATTTTCATACATGCATGTGTAATCTATTTTGATCCTATTCCCCCACCCCTGACCCCCTCCCACCTTTGTTGATCCCCTTCCTCTTCCCAGCCCCTTTCTTGTTTTCTTTTCCTTTCCTTTCTTTTCCCTTCCCCTCCCCTCCCCTCCCTCCCTCCTTGCCCCCTCCCTCCCTTCTTTCTCTTC